TACTCGTAATTTCGTACATCAATCTACAGATCCAATTCGCGAGCCTGCAATCTAAGATGCAAAGTTCAGGATCTGGACTTTTCCCATGTCAGTCTCCTGCTTGTTATCTCTGAGCTTGCTAATGTTTGGATTAGCGATATCCAGATCCACAGCTTTTCGTAGCGAAAGTCGAACGTTTCCCCTGGTGGTCGATGATACGCCATTTGCAGGCCCTCCGACTCCAGAACTCGACTATGCATGGCATGAACTTCTTGAAGGCAAGACTCCTCAGCTTGAGAACTGGCTTAAATAGCTAATCGAGGATGATAGGCATGACGATCCGCGTCTCCAAGGAAGACTTAGATTACTACAACGTCACCTCTTTACCGTTGGCGGATGGCTCTGGCTTCGCATCCCAGATGTTCGTGGCGCACGAATTGCATTGTTTGGTAAGCAAGCAATGATGTGTTGACGAGGGTCAGACTGATATTATATAGAAGAAGGTTAGGCAATGGGTGTACAAGGAGTCATACTTTGAGGATGTGCAAGGACCGGCTCGCAATGAGCTTGAAAGACACATTGGTAAGAAATTCCCACGCCATCAGGTACATCAGTTTCTTTGAAAGCTAATGTGTCGATAGATCACTGCATTGAAACACTACGCCAAGGCATTATGTGCAGAGGCGATGTGTCTCTGGGCACGTATACGTATCTTTCAGGAGGGGGTCATGATGTTACGGCGCGGAATTGGGCTTCTCACCAATGTGTGGACTTTGAAGCACTTACGGCTTGGACGAAAGCTCGCGCTGTCGACATTTTTGCGGATGGTGTCCTCGTCAAACCCGAGGATGTCGGTCCAGAGCATATCACGGAAAGGAAAGAACCCCACTAGACGCAAATCGTCATCATTGTTATACGTATTGCTTCTCATTTTGCGATCTCACGATCCGTCACCTTCATTAGCAAAGTTCACTGCAAGGTCATGATTGTGCAGTGCTTCATCTCTGGTGATGCCCCATTCATCAGCCCAATCCACCAATCCGTCATAGTCTCTGCAGGTCCTCTCAGTCTGCCATCCAGAGATACCGCGCGCAGTATAGTTCATCATCTCGAGGTTTGAATCCGCAAGACATATGAGCGATTGCCTCAAGTACTCAAAACAGTGACGAACGTGGTGATGACTCGTGCGATGATTCTTCTCGCGCGACTCATCGCCCATCTCCACCAGATTCCCGTCTACCGATGCCCAAAAAGCCTCTCGTAGCATGTTCTTCGGAGTTGTCAGCAATAGGAGAGGAATGTAAGAAGATGCGGCCCACCAAACAATGAAGCTCATGAAAGACAGCAATACCCGCTACTTTCGGAGCGAGCTCAGGATGCTGGATAAAACCTAGCTTCTCTGGGAAAAGTGACGCCCATGCTGCATCGCTCTCTTCGTTTGGTCTTTGAGGGAACGTCTTGTTGAACTGCATGTAGTAATGCATATTACCAACAGGCACTGCTTTATGTGAGTTTGGTCGATACGCGATGTGTCGTCATGAACGTACCTATGGTGTTGGCTGAAGGAAGAATTGCATGTTTTGATCCCAGCGAATAGCCAAGACTGAGTGCTCCAAGTATGCTGAAGAGGACTACCAACGTCCGAATAACTTTATGCCACACATCTTTGCACTTTTCGTGCGCATTGTGGGTACTAATGGTTTCCTCAGAGGAAGAGACAGGCAGATATCCTTTGGCTTTTCCCATGATCATGATACTGGTGATAAACGACACCGCCAGGCTACGAGGAACGCGCAACAACGCAAATAGATATTGCTCCATGTCAGCAATACGCGAGAGTTACAACTACGCAATTGCCGAAGCTCCAGCAGGTTATCGCGTTAATCGCATCCTAGGAAGTAAAGCGGCGAGGGCATCGCCCCTAATGTGCTATCTTCGCCGAGTCAGGAGCACCCTGTAAGGAGACTTCCCAATGTGAAACGCGAGCGTTTACCACCGTAAACCGTTGGCCAACGCCCCCGCGGAAGGATTCAGTGGTCCACGCGAGCGGCACAAGGAAGGAAACACGGATCGGTTAATCGCCGAACTAACGCAACCGGTATAGCAATCGGCTAGTGGCTTGCGCTCCATTTGCGGCACAGCAAGCTCAACTCCAAGTTGAGCTCATCGCTAGCGGAACGCCAACATGATAGTTTGGAGCGAAGGAAGAGTCGCATTAGACTGTCGACGTGTACACTGCAATGCGATGCAATGCAGTGCGAGGGAAAGGTGGAAATGTTGGCGACTTCCTATGCGATAGCGAAGTAGGTGGGTACTGATATAGAAGCATAGCTCGTAGCATCGCAGTTGGAGTACCTGAGCATCAAACTTTATCCTAGCAGAACTCAGCATACGCTTTCCTCAACAACAACCAATATGCGCTTTGCTGCAATCCTTTTCAGTCTGACAGCCTGCGGGTTCTACGCTAGCGCTCTACCCGTCGAACCGAAGAGAGGTCAGTGGAGCTTGGATCGCCTGGTCAATATCTAGTGCTAATGACTGAAGCAGATGCTGCAGCACTGCCCGAAGCTGGAGCCGTGCCGGGTTTCAAACCAGTCATTGTGTGGGAGCACACAGACAGCGACGACGATGACGGCATGGTCTACCAGTGGCGCCGCAAAGAATAAATTCTCGGGCTTGGAAAAAAGGGAAGGACAGGAGCTGAGAGAAGTCCATAGTATCGAAGGAGGACGATAATGTCTTGCCCGGAATCTTTGATGAGAAAAGAATGAATCGATGACCATGCGTCTTTTCCCGTGCAATGATGTGTCGTAAACCCATTGATACATTGACGTATTTGTTGCCGTAAGCTCCGTTTGGCACTACCGCTTACTCGTCCCATATAGCTTCGAAGATCGCAAGTGCAGAACCTGGTGGCTGATGCAAGTCGCGAAATTTGAATCTCGCATCGGCTTCGATAAGCAGCGCTTTCCACTCTTCCAACTCTCGCTCTCGAGCATTGCCTACTTCCAGCATTGTCAAATCCATGGCCCTGTATAAGAGGTCAATACCACAATGCGCTCTTTGCGATCAGCTTGAGCTTACCTGAGCTTTCGATCGAGGCCGTTCGGCAATGCACCAGGTGGAGGCATCACTGCATCGATGATCAGGATACGTGCGCCTTTCTTCAATGCAGGTATCAAAGCCCTCAGCGCCTTGACGCAGTATACATCCGGCCAATTATGCAAGGTCCAACGGAAATAGTATACGTCAGCATTCTTCACAGGTTGCTCTTCGAAAAAGTCATGCGCCATGAACCTCACATCTAGCCCTTCCTCCGTCTTTGAGTTCGAGATCACACCTGGAAGATCTTGTACTAAGAGCTGAAGACCTGGGTATTTCCGGACGAGAGCAAATGCCGCATCACCATGAGAGCCTCCGAGGTCGACCACAGTTCCCGGGGCGAATGAAGACCAACAATAACCGTCTGTCAGATGGCGCAGAGAATATGCTTCACCAGTGGTGAAGGAGCTCATGGCACCGCCAAATCGGCGTGCACGTTCGGGATTCTGGACGAGCACCTCATGAAATGGGAGGTCTGTCTTGTTGGCAAGCGAGAATCCCTAGCGACTGGTCAATGATACTTCAATGTAGCCATGTGTACAATCTCACAGTTTGGTTTGGCTCGGCGGCCTTGGGCCAGGTCGTCAAGGCATCAGTGAGCTTTTGCGTTGCTGGCCACAGTTCTTCTGTAGTCACTGCAACCCAGTCTGACACTCGCGTATCACTAACCATCTGTCGCGAAGCTGCAGAGTGCGCGATGAAGCCAGGACGGGGCTCTCTGAATATGCGAAACGCAATGCCTAGCCGCAGTATGCTGGTGATCGCCGCGGTGTTAATACCAATGGTGGCTGCGAGATCCTTGAAAGAAATCTCCCCATCGACCGGCACCTTCTTCGCAAGACCAAAGCGAGAGGTGAATTGCAGGTATGAGATAGCATTGTGCTGACAGCCATCAGTTTGCAAGCCGTGGCTCATCCTTTCGTTCCATACTGACATGATGATTGAAGATCAGATCTCTTGGCGTTTGGAGCAAATCGTTCAGCTCCTGGGTTGCTTCAAGGACGGCATTTCGTGACTTTTCAATTTCTGACGGTAGTTCGAGATCGGCAGGACTGTCTGCGTTGAAAGACGGGTGCGGTAAGCTGTTCTTGGAAAGATGCTCGTCCACTCGTTGGGTATGATGCGCGATATGAGCAGCAAGCTGAGCTATACGGCTCTGGGTGGTAGACATTTTGACCTGGTCGACTTTGCAAAGGTACCTACGACGGGGTCTTCATAAACGTAACTTATACCTTCCAAGATTGGCACATGATGGCCTATACCTAATGATTGGACGCATACACGACGAGCTGTATGGTGCACATGGACTTATGCAGCATGCATCTGGGTTTAACAGCCGCGGGTGGCGTGTCTCGGTAAAGAGTGTAGGTAGACTGGGTTGCTGATACCGAACACGCCAGGTGGAGACTATGGGGCGGTAGAAAGCACGAGTGTCGGCTGTAATGCACCTGGCAGGCCTAGGGGCAGTGTGGCCGTAGCAGCGAGGGTTTTTGGAAGCAGCATCGCATGCGCAGTCTTGACATGTAGTACTTGCGATAGGTCCTGGAGCTTCGTGGTTCTGTGGATCAAGTGAACGAGGAACGTAGGCCAGTAGCAGGAAGAAATTCGGGGGCTGGGTCGGGCCCGGGATCGGGCGGCCGAACGGCGGGCGCGCATTGACCCGCGCACTTCCCAGCACCCTCAGCTCTCAACTGTGGGCATCGAACGACGTCACCATGGTAGCTAGGTAATGTATGCGCAGCATGGCTGTGCACAACGTGCCGCTCATTGCCTCCATGAAACGAATATCTCTGGTTCTTCCATCATCTTTGAAACCACCTGCCCAGGTGTGCAGCCGTAATTAGGTGCCTAGGTAAACTTGGAAACAGTGCCGGCATCGACTCTAACAGGCCCATCTTCTTCAGTCGCAAAGAACACATTCACGACAGATCGAACCCAGTATATCCGTTCTCCGCCGTCTCATTGATCGTCTTGTAATAAGTTGGCACACCTCCAATGTACATCAAAGGCTCCCGAGGCTTTCCAGGGATATTGGTACCCATATACCACTGTCGCAGCGTTAGTACACTGCAATTCCTAATCCATCATTCTATGCGACTCACAGAATCTACACTGGGCAACAGCGACGCATTTGCAAGCTTCCATATGAGCTCTTTCCACTGATCTTCACTCTCCTTCTGCGCTACAATCTTACGAAGCGACTTCTCCTTCATACGGTCCATCATTTGCAAGATCCAGTCGCCTTGCAGCTCAGCGCATGTAGGACCATTGCATAGCGCAGTCGGCGCCTGAGGTCCGTAGGTGAAGAACATGTTCGGGAAACCTGCTACCGCCATGCCGAGATACGTCTTTACGCCATCCTTCCAATGCTCGCTCAAGCTCTCGCCTGACGGACCGCGGATATCGATTTGTTTCAGACCACCGGTAATGGCATCGTAACCGGTCGCGCTGATGATGTAGTCGAATTCGTGTTCCTTCTCGGCGGTCCTGATACCTCTTTCGGTAATCTCTTGGATCGGCGTACCCTTCTCGCTGACGTCAACAAGAGAGACGTTGGGCTTGTTGTACATCTCGAAGTATCCATTCTCCAGCGCGATACGTTTGCAACCGAAGGAATAGGGTTGTTCCATGGGAGCGAGTATATCTGCGACTCTGTTGTCACCGATCTTCGCTCGCGTCTTGTCCCGCCAAAAGTTGTATGCTTCGCGGTTGGCTTCTTTGCTAAAGAGCATGTCTTGATAAGCCGCAAGCCAGAACTTGAAATCGCCTTCGTTCCACAAGTCTTCGTAAACCTTCGTTCTCTGCTCTAGCGTATCGTCGAATGTAGAGCGGGGAATGAACTCAAATGAGAAGCCTGAGAAGCGGGTTTTCAACCCTCCGAAGAAGTCTGGATACTCAAGCTTGGAAATCGCTTGTTGCGGAAGGTCATAGTCGACTTGACGCATTGGCATTGACATGTTCAGGGTCCGTTGGAAGACTGTGAGCTGGCTGGCTGGCAACCTTACTCAACTCCTGCGCTATCTGGATGCCAGTAGCGCCTGTTCCAATAACGGCCACCTTCTTGCCGCGCAGATCAGGTTCTTCATGAGGCCAAAATGAGGGATGGAGGAAGGTGCCTGATCCAAGGTTAGTGTGTTTCACTGCGACGGCAATGTCGTCCGACCTTTGGAAGAATCGATGCCTTTCCAATCGGGAATGTGCCGCTTCGCCGCGAAGCCGGTGTTCAACAACAGAAACTTCACTTTGTATATCTCGCCCGCCCTCGTCTTCACCGTCCATCTCGCTTCGTCATCACTCCATGTCGCAGACGAAACGAAGGTGTTGAACTTGGTATCCTTCCGCAGATCCCACACCTTCGCCACATGAGCAAAGTAAGCGCAAAGCTCCGAGCCAGCTGGGAACCTCTGCTTCCATGTCCAATCCTTCCAAAGCGCTGGGTCGGAGAATTCATAATGGGGGATGGAGCTGTCGACACGAACGCCTGGGTAACGATTCCAGTACCATACACCGCCGTAATCGGATCCGTGCTCGACGAGCTTGACGTTATAGCCTGCGTCGCGGAGTATCTTCAGCTGGTATACACCGCAGAAACCTGCGCCAACTATCAGCGCGTCGAGCTCGTTGATGTGCTTGCCATTGGTGCCGTTAGCACTGCCGTTGAGAGACAATCTTTGGATATCTTCGATGGAGCCCATGTTGATATATGACTTGAGCCGCAGCCGCGCTGGCGGATCTGAAGGATGAAGCCGATATAATGTTGATTGCACCGCAGGTTCGGCCGGAGAAGAGATGACAATGATAGGAAGCTTACACGGATAGCAAACTGTTGGACTTCTTGCGTAATATAAACGAATAAGCTGCAGTCAATCCAGGGTACATTGGCACAGCGCACCGCGCGCGAGAAGGTAATCCTGCAGTGCTTGATCATGTTCATCAGGCCATACCTCGACGAATCCTTGTGCTCAGTCTCGGACTACATCGGTGAGAGGTGGTAACACATTGTGTGCCCCGCTTACTCTAGTACGGGGACCTTCGGGTGTGGCACCGCTGTGGAGCTGCCAAGGCATCTGCGGTACGGCACGCCCGTTGGATGGCTAGGGGCAGTTCGTGAAGCGTAAATGTGAGATGGCCGGGAGTTCAGCACCTTTCGCACGATACAACCTGAACGTCACACTGATATTGCTACAAGGCACGGGTAGTGCGCTCTTCACTGCTACCTTTCCTGTAACACGAAGTTTGGCGGCGCCTACAGCGGATGTTCAGTTGCACAGCTGCGCGTGGTGGATGCAAGACCCATGCAGTACTACATGTATGCATCATGGGAGGTTCGGCCCTTTTATCATGGGGCCGACGAGCCTGGCGCTACAGGCGGGGAAAGGTGGCGCTGGCACTCATCGGAGCAAGACCGTTTGTAATCATGACATGCGTTGATGAGGGCTCGGCCGTCTTACAAGAATGGCAGATCTTACCTGTTGGTCTTGCACCAGACAATTACAATGCATCCGATGCCGGTCTATGTTAAGACCGAAAGAGGAATTTCGGTTGCCAGGCAGACACTTCAACAGATCTAGAGCCTACATTAACGCCAGGTTATCTATTCTGTATGCTTCCATGTTGATAATGTAGGCTGCAGGCCTGTTTGGTTTTTTTCTGGGTAGACATGGATGCATGTGTTGTACTAATCGGAAGTCTGCGACATTGTACCATTAAAAGTATTATGGGAATGTCGCACACGATAACAATGGAGAGAGTTGCTCTGACGTGCATGACGTTCGTCGTTGTGACTGCGTCTAGTCATAGTAGCTTGTTCGTTAGCTGTAAACCTAGAGATGAGGAAATGCGCCGTATAAACCTGAGTACACCAAGCATACATCATGCCACACCTAGCGGTCGGAAACAGACATAGCAAGAGGCGATAGACGTTGGCTTAGCGATATGGGTTGTTTTGGTTCGCACTGGCGGAAGTGCTTGGCAAAAAAGGTTCGCCAAAAAATCAAGACCCCAACTCCTGGAGGACGACATGTCTTTAAGAGCGCAAAAAACAAGGAAGCCCGACGTGGGGGTCGAACCCACAACCTTGAGATAACCAATCGAGTCTGATTAGGACGTGAAAGCTAAGAGTCTCACGCTCTACCGATTGAGCTAGCCGGGCGATGCTGTTGTTTGATGGAAGGAGTGCATTTTGAAACATTTCTATACTCAGATGACGATGTCTGCCAGTACTATTTGAGCTGTAGAAAACCAGGCTGCCAGTGTTGAAGTTTGGGATTCGTGGTTGTGGTAGCAAAGAAAATTTCTTGCGGTCGTGTGGGGCGTGCGGCGGCGGAGGACCGGCGAACATCGTGCGTGTAACCTACTTGACTTGTCAACCCAGAACGATTATGCGGACGTTCTTCTACTGTTCGGATTCATTTGCCTGTTGTTATAGATGAAAGGTATTGTTCATCAGATATACTTCAGTCGCAGTATAGACGCGTCCGATGCGCGTAGATGCAGCGACGTTGTGTGTCACGACCACCAGCGAGCTTCTGGAGTTAGGTATTCCTGCTTCGACCCCGGATACACACAGAAAGACGTCTTTGATGGTCCCAGGCTTTGAGACCGCGATGATGGTTACTGCAGTGTAGATAGGGGCTCATGACGATTTAGTCGCACGCCCTGCCTAGGCACGCCCTGTGAACTCCAGACTGCTCGTTGCTTGGAATCTAAGATCCGGCGTAGAAACAGGCCAGCAACGGAGTCCGGGTTGGATCGATATAGTTGTTCCTTATTCGTTGCGTGTACTAGGTGTATAATGGGGGCATGCTGCGACGCAGTTAGGCTGAGGTAGCTACCCGGGGGAGCGATCGATCAACTGGGAGTGGCTCAATGTATTGGATTAAGTGTAGTAATAAAGACCACAAGAACATCGCAAGCATCTGATAAAAATTCAACGCAACCGAGAGTCGTTGTTGAGGTTGCAGTGTAGTGCTCCTTGTGGACACCTTACACCCCATAGCTGCAGCACCCTGATGACGTATCCACTCATGTCCGCATGTGCACAGACCACTACCTCAGCTCGGATCAGACGGCTACACCCAACACAGAGCCTCGTTCTTGTGCAGTCGAAGTTCACACAAGCTTTCTGATCGACGTCTAGTGCGAGGCTGGACTTGAGAATTTTGGAGACAGTGCGAGGCTGGGTCCTAGGATTGGTGCATATCTAGTATCAACTTCGGACATATCGACGCAGCCTGGTTCCCTACTCCAAGCGTACCTCAGGAGGCTCAGGTTAGCATTGTTGTTAGCTGGTTGATACGAAAGCTTGGACTAAATTCATATCTTACGTTGAGAAGTATGCTGTTGATGGTATATATTGCTGCCGTTACATCGTTTACTCATACATCATGAAAAGAAGAAATCGCAATATGCATGCATGCAGCCCACCGCCCCCCAAAAAGGTATACTTGCGACCCAACGCCTTGCTGTGACATAAACAGACAACCCCCAAAGATACACGATTCATCACAGTGATTGCCAAATGCTCACCGATAGATCATCTCTTCCCGGAGAACGCTCCTCGGCGGACTGGGTACGTGTGGCGCAGGGAGACTCAACCTCTTCGTTTCGACCTTGACCTCGCGCAGATCGATTTCTTGTTCCAGTTCGCCGACATCGTGGTATGTTCCTACATGTTTGACCAAGCTGTCTACTGTCCGGCAAATTGCGTCGACGTCTCTGCCCTTGCTACAGATTGTGCACGCGTACTCGCCATCTGGGGTATGGCACTTGATGACGAAGCGCTGGGCAAGACGGAACTCGCGTGTGTCCATGATGTCGTGCTCATAGCCAGTTGTCTTGTCCCAGATGGTGACGGGTGTCCGTTTGCCTATCATCCAAAAGTCTTCGCTGGTCACATCGAGACGAACGCCGCATGCAGGACACGCGCAGCTGCCTCCAGGAGCGAAGCTAGCTGCCAAGGGGTTTCCGGGCATGTATTGTAGATCGAGTGCGTAGCGGCAGAAGAGTTGCTCGGGGCCGTCCATGGGCATGATAGCACTAGGCGCGCGCTGCGAAGGGACGAGGGAGCGCGGAGGCGATGCGGGGCGGGGTGGGGGTGGTGCGCCGACTTGCGAGCCTCCTAGTCGTTGTTGCGCTTCTTGTAGGGCAATCATGGAGCCTTCTCTGGCTTGATTTGAGGCGGCGATGAGTTTGGACATGTCGGCGCGGGTCAATTGGCGGTCGTTGTATAGGGCATCTTGGAGGACGTTTATGACGGTTTGTTGGAGGGAGATGATTTGCGCTTGTAGTTTGTTCTCGACGATGGCTGTGCGCGGGGTCAGTCTTGTACCAGGTCTCCAGCGCAATCAACTTACCATCGCCCTGGGCGAACCGGCTGCCCATCCTGCCATAACCTTGGTCATACATCCTCTGGACCATCATACCATCCCTCTCAAAATTGTTTCCTACGTCGTCGCGCCCTCCACCGTTCTTCAGCCGATCGATCTCCTGTTGTCTACCCTCGGCTCTCTTCTGCGCCTCTTCGAACTGCTTCTTCAGCTCCTTGATCTCGCCATCTTGCTTCGTGTCGCGCTGTTTCTGTCGGTGCTGTTGGCGCTTGTCTGAGACGCGCTCCCATAGCCCCATAGACGCCGTGAACGTGCCGACAAGCGTAGATGCCAATGTGGCCACGATGAAGGTTTTCTGAGCCGCACGTGTTAGATTTGCGACTAAAAGTAACCGCTGAGTGGGCATACCTTGAGTTTCTCCTCTTCGATCCATGATGCGTAATTCATTGTCGCGTTGGTGGTGTGAGCAAGTACGCTCGCACGCCGCTTCAGTATCGAACCGTGGAAAGGGCCGAGGAGTTGGCGTGTTAAGGTTGCACGTTGGACAGACGACACGTGCGTGCTTGACAGATTATGATACCAACTCTTTCTAACCTCGCGAAAGCAACCACCTTCTCGGAAATCGGTAACGGAACAAAGTGAGATAGGAAAAGAAAAGCGCGGAGAATAAAGTGCAACCCCCTCCGCATTGCCAATGACGCACTCTGTCCTCCGCCCGTCCTGTAACACACGCGAGTCGAGCCCCCAAACGGCGCCCGACCTTAGATCAGCCGGACATGGGAAATAGCGGCAGCTGATTGCACCAAATGTCGCGCAAATATCGGAATGGGCATGGGCGCAGTGCTCTGACCGCTGGTTTCACGATGTGTTGCGAGCCGCGCCAGCAAAGTGGATGCGCCATGTGCAGTGATGTCATGCCGCTAGCTGGATTGGCTTTAGCTGACATGCGGGAGATGAAGCCGGCGAGGACCGCAACCTTAATATAAGCATGGCGGCCACGAGACGCCTCGATGGAGTCGTATGAGGTTTACAGGGAAGCCTCCAGGTTGCGGTTTCACATGCGTCAAGGCAATATGGCGGCGAACCTTGGAAATCACGTCTGCTCCAGCCGCCCCAGCACGTCGCACTCCCACCAGCACGTTGTGTGATCTTTTATCAATATTCTCAACGGCTACGCATCAATATACTTAGGTACCTGCGCAGTATATGACATGAGATTATCAGGGGTTTGTCCATTTCCGGCTGCCTGTCATCACCGACCCCTTTGTAAGCTGACTGCATTGCCTTCCCGCAGCCGAAAGCATGTTGGTATCAGCTACCCGGCGCCTGCCGAGGGTATCTTCAGTCCCAGTTTTGGTGTTGTACGG